ATATATAAATCTTGATGTTTTAAACACAAACGTAATTATTTTCATTTTCCAGTCTTCAGTATTCACATTCACTGAAAGAAATATTCACATTTACATCCAATGTTTGACTCATTGTAAGTCTGGTACTCAGATTTTTAAACCACAGAAGAAGAAAAAAAAACACAGTTGCAGTGAAGAGTTGGTTCATTACTGAATCACTGAGCTGTGCTGCTGCTCAATCTCTGCGGTGAGCCTCGGATGATTCACTCTTAGTTTATCCTTGAAGCTTTTATTTTGCGCAGTACGTTTTTGTGTTAACGCGTCAGTTTGCCAGAAATAGGTGTTTGTGTCAGAGAAAAGTGAAAGCTGTAGACGTGATATAGTCCTTTTAAAAACATTTGGCTTTTGAGATAGTGTTACAGCAGTTTTACAGCAAATTTTAATGTCAAACCTGAGATCACTAGGCTGGGTCGGGATTCATGTGTAGCTAACAGAAGGTTTATAGGGTAAATCATGCCTGTTTTTTAAGCTGATGCTTTAGTTTTATAGAGTACATTTCTGTATGTGTTCCTGTTGTAATGTGAAGGTCAGAATGTATTATTAAAACAATGGTTTAGCCTGGTTTGTTTGATTCCTTATAGCCTCAGAAAAGAGTCTGGCCCTTTAAACATGTTGCATGATGAGAAATGATAGATATTACCCTGGAGCCTACAGGTGGATGGCAGGGTGGTGTAGGTTGGAAAAGCACTAACGTGTCTGAGGGACAGATGGCAGATTTCTTTACAGCTAAAACAAACCACAAAACCAGGGCCTGTGTTTCGAACATGATGTGAGAAAAGTGAGGCCATGAAACTGTTCAGTTTGAGTGGCCAGCATCAAGTAGCTTCAGGCTCTTTACAGAATTTCACTAAATGGAAAAAGTTCCTATTACAGTCATATTATGTGCTAAATATTTCACTTCTCCACACAAGTCTCTGAGCTAAATTAAAACTAAAACTTGAGACCAATGACATTTATTGTTTTCTGTTTTTCTGCAGGTTCACTGCAAAACGACCATGCAGGCTCAGGAGGTCCTGAGACAGCTGCGGATTCCCGAGCTGGATGACTTTCGGCAGTACGTCCGAGGCTTTCCCACCAACGCCCTCATGGGTATGGGTGCCTTCGCGGCCATCACCACCTACTGGTTTGCCACCCGTCCAAAAGCCCTCAAACCACCCTGTGATCTTGGACTGCAGTCAGTGGAGTTACCAGTGAGTGATCTCTTTTTTTTTTTTTTTTTTTTTTTTTCTCCAGTTAAACTCTCTGGATTTAGGTTTCGGTTTTACGGTCATATTTGTTAGTGGAATTTCCGAGGTTTGATCCCTTTTACAGTGACGCTGGGCAAAAAGCACTGAACAGTTGACTTAATTCACTGTTAATGGATTTTCTCCACAAACTCAATCACAGCTGGCGTTAGTGTCAGTTTTAGGAGTTACAAGCCATGACTTCATCACTTCCTGTTACATTAAAAGTACTAAAATGTTTTTCACACAGTCACTGTTGGTGCTGCTGATGAACGGGGCCTCATTGAATGTTGTTTTATTATTTCAGGGTGCACAATATTGTCACTTGTAGCCCAGTCTTTGCATTGGAGCTCATGAGTAGATAAACGTGTTAAGGGATCATGGCGAGTTTGCTGAACTCTGTTTCCTTGCAGGGTGGTGAGCGTGCGAGAAGATCGGTGTTGTGCGAAGACGGCTCTTACCTGACTCACTACTACGACGATGCACGCACGTTATACGAGGTGTTCCTACGAGGGCTCAGAGTATCAAGTCAGTGTCTCTCTTGTACTTGCTAAATGTGAGAAATCCCCAAAGACGCTGATGTTGGATAAACGTTTCTTTCTTTTGCAGATAATGGACCTTGTCTAGGATCGAGGAAACCAAACCAGCCATATGAATGGCAGACTTATAAAGAGGTTAGATGGGCACCACGGACATGCCAGTGTGGGATTTTTACAACCATCAAAGTGGGAATTTATTTTAAAAACTGGATTTAATTTTATTTTTTGCACAGGTAATAGATAGAGGAGAATGCATCGGCTCCGCCCTCCTTCACAGAGGACACTCTCACACAGGAGACAAATTCATCGGCATCTTCTCTCAGAACAGACCAGAGGTAAAACTTACGTCATCCTCTCATGTTATCCTACGGTGTTTCTGTTATCACTAACCACAAGCTAACTGCATTCCTGTGTTACAAGGGCAGATTAAAAGGGTAAATATATACTGCGGACACTCCTCTTTAACTGAGGAGATATTTGTTTGGTAATTTCATAGTAGATCAGCAGTTTCTGAAATACTGAGATCAGCCCGTCTAGTACTAACAACCATTTCATGCTCAGTCATGATGCTCATGTTGAACTTGAGTAGGTCATCTTGACCATGTCTGTAGGCATAAAAGCAGGTTGCTACCCTGTAATTTGCTGATTTACATTAATGAGCAGCTGAACAGGTGATCCTTGCAAAGTGTCTGGTTTAGTGTAGACACACTCCACACTTCTGATGGGAGACCTGGTAGAAAGAGTTAGGTAATGACTAATTCATCCATCTGACATAAATACTGTTTGAAGCTGTTATATTGTTAGTCAAAAGGTGTATCAGATATTGAACTCTTTCCAAATTTTCCATTAAGATCTCTGTGACATAAATGATTCTTGTAGCATTACCAAGTTGTTTATTGTTCTTTTTCCTTTTTTTCCACGGCTGAACTCAAATGAATGATACTGTTTCTGTGCAGTGGACCATTACAGAGCTCGCCTGTTACACGTACTCCTTGGTGGCTGTCCCGCTGTATGACACACTCGGCGCTGAAGCCATTGACTACATTATTGATAGAGGTATAACAAAAGGGCACCATCTCACACTAACCACATATCGCCTGCAGCACTGTCAGAGTGCTTTATAAATCAAGGGCCGTGACGATGGAAGATTAAATTAATGGTTCGCTTGGCGCCGTCTGTTTCACAGCCGACATCTCAACGGTGATCTGTGATGTCCCTGAAAAGGCCCGGATGATTCTGGATTGTGTCAGCGGAAAAGCACGAGCGGTGAAGATGATTATTCTCATCGAGGCGTTTGACAGCGACCTGGTGACCCGCGCAAAGGAGAACGGCATCGAGATCCTGAGTTTAAAGGAGCTAGAGGTGAGAATAAGAATCGGATTTGTCATTTTTGAGTTTCACAAATGTTCATTCTTGATGTGCAGAGCAAATTGTGTCATCTTCTGTGTTATGTCTGCACTATAGAGAGTACTCCCCAGAAAGTTGATTCTGTTCATCTTGACGTAGATTGTCACTAGGAGGAACGTTTCGTCACTCATCCAAGTGACTTCTTCAGTCCCAGCTGACTGCAGGTTTCTTCAACCTTATAAACAGTACATAATGGCATAATGCTCTTTGATTAATTCTTATGATCATTTTCATATTATTGATCAAGAAACTGACCTCACAGCCGATTCTTCAACAGTGGTGCTATTTTCAGTCATTATGCAAATATACTGTTTATAAGGTTGAAGAAACCTGCAGTCAGCTGAGACTGAGTAATGCCTTACCAGGATGATTAAGCATGCATCAAGACACTGTTGAATAGAACTGTAATTTTGTTGCATGCATGTAAAAATGACTGTGAAGGCGACTCTGGTTCGAATATTTCAGTCTGTTTCTGTTTGTGTTTTTGAAACCATCCAGCCGTGTTCGAGCTAAGTAGAAATCAGACCCTTATCAGGACTTCCTGCAGATGTACTAATTTTTGTACATTTTTGTTTCCAGGCCTTGGGTAAAGCTAACCTCAAGCAACCAGTGGTGAGTAGGAACAGCACGCCATCTTTATCTGATCTACTGACAACATGAGTTTTTTTAAAGGCTCTTCTTTTAGACTAAATTACTCCAGTGAGAGTCATTGGTGAAACTTCGATGAATTTGCTTGATCAACTGGTCTCCATCTTAAAAAAAAAAAAAAAAAAAAAAAAAGTATTTTAAATGTAATAGACGTATCAGTGTTGCTCTGTGATTACAGCCTCCCAAACCAAATGACCAGGCTCTTATCTGCTTTACCTCTGGAACAACAGGTGAGTACGGGGTTGTTATTGCGTTAACATTTCAGAAATGTTATGTTTTTATGTTATATATCATCATAATTGTTTTTTATTGTGTTTGTTTTGCTTAAACTTTACTTTCAGGATACCCAAAAGGTGCAATGATTTCTCATGAAAACGTAGTCTGCAACACTGGCGCTTTCATTAAATTGACCAAGGTAAACAAACCCACCCACCGGCACTCTAATATTTTCAATTGGTTGATCTCACTGAAACCTTTCCAAACAATAATAACTCAGAGGCTCTGGGTGGCCTTCAGGTTGTCATCAGACTGTAAGAAATCATGTATCCTCTTTTTTTTTTTTTCTGTACTCGTTTAAAGTTGCGATAATTGAACATCAAAGATGAGACAGAAAGGCAACACCTGATTTTAAAAAAAAAAAAAAAAAAAAAGGAAGCATAAAGTCTCAGTTCTTAATTAAGTTAAATGGCGTTTTGAAGTACACAAGCTGTTGTATATGTAAAGGTAGATTATAGAAAAACAAACCATGTCATTGAATTTATTTGCTAAATGTAATAAAAAAGCCAAAATCTTCATCCATCTTTGTAGAAGCTGATTCGGCACAGTTCAATCAAACATTTTCTTTTGTTCTCATATGTTTTTTTTTTTCTACGTCAGATGGAAAAAAACATGAAGCTGACTCATGGCTCTAATATCCCTGTCTGGCCCCTGTTGCCTCTCCTTGATTCCTCTTTGTATTTTCCTCTGTCCGTCTGTCTTGCTCCCTCGTCTGTCCCGTCCTGTGTGGTCTCGTCCGTCGTCTAGGAAACACTGAAGCCCACAAGTAAAGATGTGCTCATCTCCTTCCTGCCTTTGGCCCATATGTTTGAGCGTGTAGTGGAGGTAAAGTACAGAGTGCTTCACCTGCATGTGTTTTGTGTGTTCCTCTGCAGGTAAACTGCATGCTGAACGCCAATGACATTCACGTATCCTATCTCCCTCTAGCTCACATGTTTGAGAGGGTTGTGGAGGTATGTTGCTTACCTTAAGATGCACAATGAATTTATTAGTGGAGGTAATATTTAGGAGTCAGCAGAGAAGGACTGCTAGTATAATGTTTGTGAGACATGAGATGTGAGACCCCTTAATGCCTAGCGTATAGTATTTGATACATGTGTTTTTGAGTTCTATCAGCAGTGTGAATTATACAGTTAAAGGTTTAAAATTTGTGCACTCCTTCATGTTTTCCACAGTTGTCCAGTAGGTCAGATTAGAGTCTTTGGCAGACCGATTCTGGCCCTTGTGCCTTACATGTGACACCCCCGCCTTAGTGTGTTTAAATGCAGCATTAGTGCCCTCGTGTGGTCAAAATATCATTTTTAATTTGTCAAAGTTGGAATGAGCAGCATCTTTTCCCCTCCATCAGTGTGTCGTACTCGTCCACGGGGCTCGAATCGGCTACTTCCAAGGGGACATTCGACTCTTGATGGATGATCTGAAAACACTCCAGCCAACAGTTTTCCCTGTTGTCCCCCGCCTCCTCAACCGCATGTTTGACAAGGTCAGTTTATGCTGTTTATGTGCTTTTGTGGTCAGAAGTGCCGTTTCTCTGGTCTGCTGCTTTGCACGAAACACGATTTGGATATTTCTCATTGCTCTGCAGGTTTTTGGTCAAGCCAACACGCCACTGAAAAGATGGCTGCTTGATTTTGCCTTCAGAAGGAAAGAGGCGGAGCTTAAAAATGGAGTGGTCCGAAAAGACAGCATGTGGGACACACTCATCTTCAAGAAAGTGCAGGTAAACACGAAACACTTTAAAGCACTTGGAGATGTTACGTGCCACCTAACAATCTTTCAAAGAGCACGTACACTAAAGAGGAACAAAGACACAAAATGGATAAACACGCCCACACATTTGACCTTTTCGTCAAAATTATTTTGTTAAATGAATCTGCAGCGGTTTTTGTGTTGCATAATAAATTAGTTTTGAGTTGACATTTTGGAGCTTTCATGTTTGTTTTGCACTGTAGGCGAGCCTCGGCGGCCGTGTGAGACTCATGATTACAGGAGCAGCCCCGGTATCCCCGACCATCCTGACTTTCCTGAGAGCTGCTCTCGGCTGTCAGGTGAGCCACATTCACAGTCATCTCATCTGTAATTTTTTTTAATACTTTGTTTATGAATATCATTAATAACGTAAACGTTTTCCACAGTTTTATGAAGGTTACGGTCAGACTGAATGCACAGCTGGCTGTACCATGTCGATGCCTGGGGACTGGTCAGCAGGTAAAGTATAAGACTTTCACTAAATTTTGCAATTTGTAGACACAGTGATGCTTGTAAGAATGAAACGACACTATGACTGCTCTGTCATCAGGTCACGTTGGGCCTCCTCTGCCCTGCAATGCTGTTAAACTGGTGGATGTGGCAGAAATGAATTATCTGGCAGCCAATGGAGAGGGAGAGGTGAGGAATAGGATTCGTCGAATGCATACGGCCATTACGGAGACTTGCAGTCAGTTTTCACACAACCATACATCCCTGTAGAAAAAAAGTACTGCTTACTGCTTCTATAGGAATTAAGAGCAGCCAGGTGGTGATATACAACTGATCATCAGAAGGGTGTGAGCACCTCTGTGACACACAGCATAATTTAAAAAAGCAGATTTCTAGAGGCCAAAACTGAATTTATTGTTTTAATAACATAAACTTTGTGCAACAGGATCCAGATTTTTTTTTTCTTTTTAAAAAAGAAAAAGAAACAAAAACGCGACACAGAATTTAAATGCAAAACTATTATAAACATATTAAAGAACCACAATATGTATTTAAGTGACACATTTCTTCTATAAAACTAACATGGAAATTGTATTATTTTGAAACTAGCCTCAGTGTCCTGAGGTTTACATTATCCTCATACATTTTTAATTCAATATTCTACCACATAATTAGAAGCTTGCCTTAGATACAACAAAAGGAAACCCTTTAAAGGAGAGGCTGTCCTTTAACATTTGAAATCAATGTTGGCTTCAAACGGGGACGTGAGCGAGAAACTATTTGTAAAAACAAAATGTAGCGGGGTTGATAAAAAACAAAATAAAAACAAGAACAACAAACCAAACAGCTTCTTATTTATAATCTCGGTTGTTGTAGGTGTGCGTCAAAGGACCAAATGTATTCCAGGGATACCTGAAAGATCCTGACAGAACAGCTGAGGCTATTGATAAGGATGGATGGCTGCACACTGGTGACATTGGGAAATGGCTTCCTGTGAGTAAAACGGGCTGAGTGGTGATGCGAATGGTGATGATCACTGTGCATAAACCTATACTTACATTGCTCTTGTGGTTCCCTGCAGAATGGCACTCTGAAGGTTATTGACAGAAAGAAACACATTTTTAAGCTGGCACAGGGAGAGTACATCGCCCCGGAGAAAATTGAAACCATCTATGTTCGCAGCGACCCCGTGGCCCAGGTGTTTGTTCATGGTGACAGCTTACAGGTAAGGCTTAAATCTCAGACTTTTTTTTTTTTTTTTTTTTTTTTTTAAATCTACACAAATAGTCTGTTTGAAGCATTTGATTCTCATCTGGTCCATGTTGTGTTTTAAAGGCATGCCTGGTGGGGATAGTGGTGCCCGATCCTGACTTCTTACCTATTTGGGCCAAGAAAAAAGGGTTTGAAGGCTCTTACTCTGAGCTGTGTGACAACAAGGTCCGATTTATTACTATCAGCAATCTGAACATGGACTCTCACTCTGTATGCCTGTGTAACATCTTCTGACCTTTTTTTTTTTGCTTTTGCTTTTAGGATGTGAAGAAGGCAATTCTGGAGGACATCTTGAATTTGGGCAAAGAAACAGGACTCAAGTCTTTTGAACAGGTGACTGGTCCTGTCTAACTTCAAGCACAGCCAGTGCTTCCCACAAAAAGACTTCATTTGAACTGAATGTCCACTGAAGTAAATTTGGAAAATAATTTTAGTTTTTCCACTCAAGGAAAATATTGCCAGGAAATTAATGGTGCACAATCACTTTGGTTTTATTTTGAAAGATCCAAACATGTCACTGTGACTGTGCTAATCTCTCATCTTTTTTTACATGAAAAAGCACGAGTGGGTCTCTTTCTGGTTTCAGTGCAAGATTTACACTTCAGAGACCCAGAATTTTGCAATATATGCATCCTTAAAAATTATTTGCAGCAATACTTAAGTCAATGTTTGCTCTGTCATTTATCTTTTTTCCCCTCTGCAGGTGAGGGACATTGTGTTACATCCCGAGATGTTCTCTATCCAGAACGGTCTGCTGACTCCAACCCTGAAAGCCAAGAGGACTGAGCTTCGGAGCCACTTCAGAGAACAGATCGATGAACTCTATGCCAAAATTAAGATGTAAGCCAAGTTCAAGGAGTATTATAGGGAAGCCGTTCAGAGACAGCCAGAACCAAACAGTGTGCTGAGGGAATCCGTCTCACTTTCTCTGCAAGTGACAATCTTAACAGTTATATGGGGGAAAAGCTTTCAGGATAATTGGATAATGAATTTTAAAAGTGCATTTTATACCCACTTTGATCAATAATCACACAGATCCATTATCCTAGCTAACACTGGCTAACTGGCAAAGAGATCCGCAGAACCCGCACCAAGTTTCTTGTGTAGTTTATCCAAGAATAAGGGTTAAAATGGCACAGAGGAAGTTTGACTTCTGCTTTTATGTATGACAACTTCACGGTCAGAAAGGTGAATCCTGAAAACATTTCTGCTAGTTTTATTCGTGAGAGCAACAAGAGAAAATCTTTGAAAATACTTCTACAACAGTGACAGATATTAACTATTTATATGCCATGACATTTCATGCTTTGGTTATCTATTTAAGGGGATATTTAATATCATCTTTTTGTAAATAGTGTATCTGCTGGAAAATTTGTGTACAGGGTACCATGCCAGATACTCTGTAGCTTCCCTGCATTCCCATATTTCTCAGTGCTGCCGGCTGAAGGACTTTGATGAGGTTTTTGGTTAACAGCCTTCTGAAAATCATGTTGGTTCACAGATTTTGGGCTTTTGTTTTTGGTGTTATTTTTAAATGTTGCATGTAACATATTCACTGTTGCTTTCTAAATGCCTGACATTGCATTGCCAAAAGCTGAGGAATGAAGCTGCACAACCATCGTTTGTATATTCTGCAAGTATTTGGGGTAAAAATAGTAACAGTGATTTTTATCGTTGATCAAACAGTTTCCATGTCCTTTGCAAAATCAGCAGTCTTCATTTCAGCCATTTGAAAAAAAGTTTGTTTGTTTTTTGTGAATGCCGGTTTTCTGACTGATGAATGATCGTGATGTACATCCAATCGTGTCAAAGACCTCTTAACAGCACAAGCTGTACTGTTTAGTTGGGTTTTTTTTTAATGACTTGTGATCTCAAAAAGGGAGAACGGTCCAGTTTTGTGCTATAATGGAAAGTGTATCTGTCAAATGTACCAAATAAACACAACGTGGTCGTGCAGTTGTTAGCACTGTCACCTCATAGCAAAAAGGTCCTCCATGCTGCCATTCGGTGTGGTATTTGTGTGTGTTCTGTCCAGGTACTTCCAGGGAGTGTTTATAACATTAGCAGGAGCAGTGAAGGCAGCCTGGGGATGGTGGAGAAGATGACCTCAAACAGAAACTTGGTCAAATATTTAATCTAGTGTGGTCTGCGGTGCTGATCTGATCACATACCCAAACCATCTCAGCTGGCTCCTTTGAATGCAGCAGAGCAGCAGCTGTGCTATGTTACAGTTCATGTTCAGTTTAAACTTGAGCAGGCAATCAAGGATCTCCACTTGAGCAGAAGCACAAACACCTGCAGCTATGTACAAACCAGGGGCGTCTCCACGGCACATGTAATAAAGTATTTATTACATGTTTTCGCAACGTTTAAAGTGCTGCCAGCGTCTTTAATGCAATACTGCAAAAGAACACAAATCTCATGCTCTACTGGGAATCAAAATCAGCCATACAACTGAGCAGGAGCTGGTCTGAGATCTCTTCACTCTTCTCTTCAAAATCGTCTAGACTCTCCAAATAGTCCCGATCATCCCGTTCATCTCCCCACACATCAGATTTCTCCTCCTCTGTGTGAGTTGTGCTCTGTGGGCCCATGGGTTTATGTTCCTGGCTGCTTTCAATGTTGCCAGCATCGTCCATGAGGTACACCTGGTCCTCCTCATCCTGTAAGAAACAGAAGACGTGATTACCGACTGATGCATGTTAAAGCTAAAACACTGTTAAAATAAATGAACTAACCAGCGTCAAGACGTAGCTGATACAGATCTCTTGTGGCAGTGGGTAACCTGTAACAGGGACATGATGTTACCTCACAGTCAGATCATGTTTCCTTGAATTATTTCAACTACAAGTCAGTATGGCAGCTCTTTCGGATCGTGACATACTCGAGGACCTGAAGTTCCTGCATTCAGGATCGTGGCACTTTTGGTACCACACATCCTCTTTCAGATCCACAACGATCCTGCAGAGGGTGACAGAGCCAAATCAGAAAGCGTAAGAACACTCGACCATCTTCAGAAGATGAAGGAAACAAACTGCACTCACATGATGTTGTTGCTTTTGTGAAACCGCCCCACGTTTTCACACCAGCGGTATTTGGCGATGTCATAAACGAGAAGTTGCTCTGCGGCAAAGTAGTTCCATCGTCTTAAGCCTGTCAAAATTTATGAGATCATAAACGTCAGGTAGGACGATCGATGTGAACTGCCACACTTTTCTTTTCAGGAAGAAAAAAAAAAACCCGGTAATATCTAAATGTTTCACTCGGCTGGATGTCACGTCAGAAAACCACAATTTTAGGGCAGATGAACTCTACAGACTGAAATATTTCACGAGCAAATGTTTTCACTGCATAATACTTACTTCCTTGTATCCCATCCTTTCTAACCACCGTTAATACAAAGTTGTCCACTTCTTGGTGAGGGGATGACAGGAAGCCAGAAAGTGCACCTGTCGGTAATATATGGGAAAAAGTTTCACGAGTCAAATCATTTCACACTGAGGTTTTTGAGGTGAAACCAACAATAACATTTATGCCATAAACTGACTACATGCAGGAATACTTCACATATGTATATGCAGAAGATTAAGAAAAACTCTGGTCTCGGTTCAGCATTACCTGAGTCTGAATCTGACCCTTGTTGGGACTTAGATGGGGAGATTTTGGGCTCACTTGATTCTGGGACATCCCATGTAAGAATCCTCTGACCTGTGAAGCTGATACACGGGAGGAGAGATTATGTGTGGCCCTTTTTAAAAAAAGATCACAGCACACAGGAATCTGAGCTGTTTGTGCCCAATGTACCTCACGTTACACACTAAGGAGGCCAAGAAAATGCTTTCCTCCAAAGAAGTTCCCTTCTCAGGTTTGGCAATACACTGGTTATCTTCTGCCACAGTGAACGCAGCATTCTTCCCCGCTTTAGACGACTTGTACAGGCGGAAATTTCTGTTCTTTGTATAGACACCTGTGTGTTGAAATAAAAAGCCATGGTACGTGAAGGGAAATTGTGTAAATGCATATCTTTACACATAAAAAAAGGACATAATAATTTTTAAAAATCTGATTTCCCTCACCAAGATCCACAAAGAGAGAGTCTCGACCATCTTTGTTTTTCACCCGGAGGAAGCTGAGGTCTCTCCCTTCCTCTTTACGCCTCTTCATCTCTGGACTTGCTGCTTGAGTTCTACTCAGGGCAAATAAGTGCAAAATTTTAACCTTAAACACTGAGCACATAGAAATAAAAACATGCAGTTTTTACAGGTCTGGGAGAACAAACCGTGTTTCCACTCCATTATCAAGGTGGCTTCCATTTTTGGGTTTGTTCAGGACAGGCTGAAGAATTGCATGAATGAACCTCCCTACAAAATCCCAATCAGATGGAATATATGACTATTAAGCAGGTATTAACAGGCTGATGTTTTCCATGTAGGGCTGAACATACCAACATGAATGTTGTCTTTGAAAGCTGCTTGTTGAAGACAGAAGATGAGATGTCTGCTGAATTTCTCCTCAGTGCTGGAGTCCAGATTGAGGACATTTTTCGCAGAGCATTCAATCCCATAAACTTCCAATAACTTGTCACAGACGTACTGTCACCACACAAAGCAGAGAGGGGTAAACATATCAAATGTTTAGACAAGAACTTTTACTATTTCATGGAAAACATGAGCTCAGTTTGAATTAGATGGATGCTGAATGATGCTAAATCACATACTGCATCTATTAAAGCAGCATGGCTTCATAGTAGAAGAGTCTAGGTGCAGTCCAGACCTTTTTCAATGGGACAAAATTTATCTCCCAGAAGTCCAGCAGCTAGTCTTTTCAGTTCCCAGGCATTTGCAGACTGTTGTTTAAAAAAAGACGGGATGCCTTGCCCCACTTTTTTAAGACACGTTGCCATCAAATACAAAATGAGCTATTATTTTTCTTAAAATTATACATTTTCTTAGTTTAGGCACTTCATAGTTTTTCTGTGCTTAACTGTGAATAAAATGTGGGTCAAAGAGATTTGCAAATCTTTGCATTCTGTTTTTATTCACATTATACGCAGGGCCCCACCTTTTGTGGACTTTGTGCTGTATAAATGTTTCTCACTAGTCAGACGTCAGGGTCCAGAAGCAAGTTATAACCATTTCTTTTCACAGGTTCATTTTCATTATTACATTTCATTATTAGCGGTAAAATAAACTACTACTTCAAGAATTTCAAATCAGGTTTATTTGTATATATTTCCAGTTGACAACAACAGCAGTCATTTCAAGGCTCACTATGAAAATACTACAGTCTATCTAAATCCATTCATAATTTATGTCTAAAAGTGTGTGAATCAAGCTGCTTTATTAAACTCCTTTGAACAGGAAGTAGTAAAACAGAAAAATGGACCCCACCTGGATAAGCAAAGACACCATAGTTTTCCCATCAGATCCTTTGTTTGAAGGTTTGTGGAACTCCAAGTCCAAGTAGAGCTTACAGACAGCTCCCTCTGGTATCACCTCATAACAGTGCATCAAAGACTGGGTGTAAGTCCTGGAAAAATAACCAGAATCAACAGCTGAACATCAATTTTGTTACTGAACACAAAAGGAGCTGCATCTGAAGCGAGTAGTAACTGATATATATTAATATTACCTGTAGTAAAACCACAGCTCACTGTAACTGGTAACCAGGTAAATCCTTTGACCCATGGACTCCTTTTCTTTTTCAAGTGCAAAAACATGCACAGCCTTGAGAATGAAAGGCACAAAATTCAGCAACTTTCCCTCCACATACAGTATGGAAACATTAAAGTAGAAGGTCTTGTGTACCTCTTTGCAGCTCTGAGCGAAGCTGATAGCCATGGATTGACGAGGGAAGAGTTTCCAAACAGACGAAGGCTGGCAGGGCCACAGTCGAGGCTTGTAAGGTGTCGTCAGAGGATTTTTCTGGAACGACTGAGCGAGCTCCTCAACTTTCTTCAGTCGATCCCCCCACTTACTCATCTTCAAGTCCGTATTAACCTCCAATTAGCAAATTCTCTGTTATTCTCACTCAAGGACAGTTTCACTCAATGATCTTTAGTTATCCTGTCATTCTTCAACCTGAAATAAAAACTACATATGGCATATTGATTAGATACAGTTTAAGAATACTGTAACCTATACCCTGTGGACTTATAAACTGGCAACTCCGTGCTGGGTATATAAAAGCTGACAAGCTACAAGGCGTCGCCACAGCAGGTAGTGTGATTTGCTTAAGTTTTATGTCCTTTATGCCCGTCCTCATGCAGCCCCAATGGGATTTCTGTGTCTCCCACAGGAATAGGACAAGTGACAAAGTGATTGCATTAACCACATCTCAAACCTGCCAAGTACAGCAGCCAAGTAAGTAACAGTAACAGTAAGTAAAGATGAGACACAGCCCACATATTCAGTTACTGTACTGAAGTACAAATTTGAAAACATGAGTATCAGTTTTGACTCGTTCTCTCTGCTCAGTATTTTCCAGATCGATTACAATTTAAAACATCCTCAAAAAAACATCTGTCGAAGACATAAGACAAAGTCAGGTTAGACACCTTCTGCCACTGTATGCCTTCTATTTTTTATATTTTTTAACTGTTATCAGGCTCTGACCTTTTTTGTGCTGCTTTTATCTGATTATCAATTCAATAAAGACCTGGAACACTCAGATTGCATCCACATGGACAGCTCCCAAGTGAAAGGGTGTGTGTCCGTGGAAAAAACATAAAATAGCTTTTTTATATTTATTATAATATTCATGACATCCAAATGGGATGTGTTTCAGATCTAACTGTGACTAGCTTGTGTACTTTTCTTCAAATCTGGCAGCTGAGCCTTTGCAGTATGTAAAAATGGGCAAATATATTATATAGTAATAACAATTATATCCTGCTGCACATCTGCATGAGTCATTTTACTCTAAAAAGTCAAAAATCTGTTTCTGAAATGTCAAGTTTTTTGTTCTTTTTTACATGTAATGTTGTATTTT